TTTCAATTTTTATACGTTGCCCACATATTTGTTATTAGACAGCGCGCGTTTCACGGCGAATGCAAAGGGTTAATTTGGTAAAATATTTCAAACAATTCAATTACTTTCTTCTTCGATTTCTATTTAATTCGATTATGTTTGTTTCGCTCTCGGTGTGCCCGATTTAGACCCATTTATGTACGCAGATAAATGATAGCTCCGCGGAGTATAATTTATTAATCGCCTTTTTATTCGATATCGTAAAACGTTCTCTTTCCGTTCGCGTTGCGAAACGCGTTCCTCCTCGAAATGGGACGTGTAAACGAAACATAATTCGCTGGCTGCGAGTACGAACACAAAACTGGTTGAAGCATTATCCTAGGATCTTTCTCGTACGAGGATCGAGCGAGCGAGCGATGCAAGAATCATCGAGGTTGCGTATATTTTTATTACCTTCCGCGCAGCGTTGTTAGCCATTGTTACTCGCTTAAATGGGAATTCGCGCGAGCCGAGGACACGTTCCCGTATGAAAAGTTCAACGATAATTATACCCGGAGCGATTCGGCCGCAGGCGGTGAACTCGCTCTTTCACGAAAAATCTACCGATCGAAGGAGGCCAGGGTTATCACGATTGTCCCCGATTTCCTGCACCTCGGGGTGATGTCAATATGCCACTTAATTGCCGGCGAGACGTCGCAGATTCGAAGTCAAACTTGTTTAGCCCAGTTTCGTTCGAATACAGTTTTCTTGCGCGCGTGTATCTTAGAGATCCCACGTTTCGGTAGCTGCGAGCACACATTTAAGCTAAAGTAATGTCTCCCTTACTGACGCTAAGATTGTCCACTAAAATGAATAATTTGGGAAAAGGAAGAAAAACATAAGAAACGAGCCACGAGGCTCGAGCAATTGTATCTCCTCTTCCCAAATTCTCCATTTCTGTGCGCAACCTGGGCGTCAATTCGAGAGACATTACTGTAATTGAAATTCGATGGATCATGCAATTCGCTAATTTTGAGAATGGTGCGATCATGAATCTGAAAGAAGGCGATGGTCTAATTTGTCCTCGAATAAACGATCCAATTCGTGTATTACTTGATTACTCGAATTACTTGTATTACTCGATAACTTTCGAATTGTCAACAACTATAAAAACGAACCGCAAGGCTCGAATAATAGTATCTCCTCTTCCAAAATTGTCCATTTTTCTGCACAATCTCAGCGTCAGTTGGAGAGACAGTACTGTAACCCCGCAGCTACAGTAATGTCTCCCTTACTGACGCTCGGATTACTGTAGTACTCCCTTACTGTCCACAAAAATGGACAATTTGGGAAGTGGAGATACGATTATACGAGCCCTGCAACTCGTTCTTATAGTTATCGACAATTCGAAAACTGTAAAAATGAATCGCAAGGCTCGAATAATCGTATCTCCTCTTCCCAAATTGTCCATTTTTGTGGACAGTAAGGGAGTACTACAGTAACTGTCTCTTATACACATCTAGATGTGTATAAGAGACAGTTACTGTAGTACTCCCTTACTGTCCACAAAAATGGACAATTTGGGAAGAGGAGATACGATTATTCGAGCCTTGCGATTCATTTTTATAGTTATAAATTGTCCACAATTATAAAAACGAGCCGCAAGGCTCGGATAATCGTATCTCCACTTCCCAAATTGTCCATTTTTGTGGACAGTAAGGGAGTACTACAGTAACTGTCTCTTATACACATCTAGATGTGTATAAGAGACAGTTACTGTAGTACTCCCTTACTGTCCACAAAAATGGACAATTTGGGAAGAGGAGATACGATTATTCGAGCCTTGCGATTCATTTTTATAGTTATAAATTGTCCACAATTATAAAAACGAGCCGCAAGGCTCGGATAATCGTATCTCCACTTCCCAAATTGTCCATTTTTGTGGACAGTAAGGGAGTACTACAGTAACTGTCTCTTATACACATCTAGATGTGTATAAGAGACAGTTACTGTAGTACTCCCTTACTGTCCACAAAAATGGACAATTTGGGAAGAGGAGATACGATTATTCGAGCCTTGCGATTCATTTTTATAGTTATAAATTGTCCACAATTATAAAAACGAGCCGCAAGGCTCGGATAATCGTATCTCCACTTCCCAAATTGTCCATTTTTGTGGACAGTAAGGGAGTACTACAGTAACTGTCTCTTATACACATCTAGATGTGTATAAGAGACAGTTACTGTAGTACTCCCTTACTGTCCACAAAAATGGACAATTTGGGAAGAGGAGATACGATTATTCGAGCCTTGCGATTCATTTTTATAGTTATAAATTGTCCACAATTATAAAAACGAGCCGCAAGGCTCGGATAATCGTATCTCCACTTCCCAAATTGTCCATTTTTGTGGACAGTAAGGGAGTACTACAGTAACTGTCTCTTATACACATCTAGATGTGTATAAGAGACAGTTACTGTAGTACTCCCTTACTGTCCACAAAAATGGACAATTTGGGAAGTGGAGATACGATTATCCGAGCCTTGCGGCTCGTTTTTATAATTGTGGACAATTTATAACTATAAAAATGAATCGCAAGGCTCGAATAATCGTATCTCCTCTTCCCAAATTCTCCATTTTTCTGCACAATCTCAGCGTCAGTTGGAGAGACATTAACTGTAAACGAATCACCGACGAAATCGTACGCGAATTTCACTTTTGAGAAAGAGGTTTTTTCGTACAGCGTTTTCTAAAGTGAAAGTCTACAGAATGTGGTTCGATTAACGAGGGAAACAATCGTCGGGAAACGTCGCGGCTATTTTCGATCGCGATCGGCGAACAATAAAGAGAGAGGTTCGCGTTCGTACGACGGAAATTCCGCGAACACGATGGGCCGGCTCGGGTCGGTCGGGTCGGTCGGTTCATTTGCGGCCGTGGCCGCTCGAATTTTGCGACGCGACGTTTATCGGTGCCAATTTCGCGGCCGGCGAATAAATGCATCCGCGCCGCGTGCTCGATGCAAGGCTAAGCGAACGCGGGATTATCTGGCGCGGTGATAACCGAGCGCCTTTGTTATCCGACAAAATTATGGTCGGACGAGATGCCGGCAAACAGCGTCCGCCGGTATTAAATTATGCCCGGGCCCCGCTGTAATTTGACACGGTGCTCCTAATCATCGTTGTTTCAGCGCAATTTCGCGCGGGACACGCGATTGCACCGCGTTAGAATATTTTAATCCCGGCGGCGCGACGCCAGTTAATTGAATGCTTTGTCGACGCGCGCCATCGGAACAATTTCGGTCCGCGTTTTACCACGCGCGCTCGTTCGCGCCTGCATTCTTCCACGGAACTTTCTCCGAAAGTGTACATTCCATTAGTTCGGAATTAGTTTTTAGATTGGTAGTTTTGATCGATAGTTAGATTGATTAGCTTTTAGATTGATATTTCAAAAATTGACTGCACATTGCGGATCTTTGTGCAATATAAAGATCACCTACGTTCATTGTGTGGAACATAAATTATAAAAAATATATACATATATATATTTTGCATAAATTTTTACATAAATT